CCAGAATCCCGAAAACTTTCAGCTCGAGTTACACAACCGCTTTCAGTGCCTACAAGATTGCAATGCAGTGGACGATATGAATGACAAGCTCGTGGAAACTGTCCATGCGGTCGGAGCTAAGTTCTGCAAGACCCGCCGCAGAAGAACACAAAAACTCTCCGATCACACTCTTAATCTCATGGCTGTTAGACGGGAGATGAGGCTGCAATCGTCAACAGATTTGACAGCATACAGGCAACTGAATAGACAGATCTCCAAATGCATGCGGCGAGACTTACGCAACTTTAATACTTCTCGTATTAAAGAAGCGATCGAGCGGAACCAGGGCTCCAAAGTCTTTGCCAGAGATCTGTCTGCCAGAAAGAGCCAACTGTCAAGGCTGAAGACTGAGTGTGGTAACATCGTTTCCGGGACACCTGAGATTCTGAGTGAGATTGAGAGGTTCTATGGGCAGCTGTACACATCATCGTTGGAGCCACACTCAAGTGTGAGTAACGATCCAAGAGCAAGTCTTATCCGACACTATTCCGATGATATCCCGGACGTCAGTCTGAGCGAGATTAGAATGGCTCTCCAACACCTTAAAAACGGCAAGGCCCCGGGCGAGGATGGAGTTACAGCGGAGCTTCTGAAAGCGGGTGGAACACCGGTACTTGAAGTCCTTCAGAAGCTCTTCAATTCCGTCCTCCATGGTGGCACTACTCCAGAGGCGTGGAGCAGAAGTGCGGTGGTCTTGTTCTTTAAGAAAGGCGACAACGCTCTCTTGAAGAACTACAGACCGATTTCCCTTCTGAGCCGCGTCTACGTGCTGTTTTCGAGAGTCATTACGAATCGTCTCGCAAGCAGACTGGACGACTTCCAGCCTCCCGAACAAGCCGGTTTCCGAAAAGGCTTCAGTACCATAGACCACATACATACCCTGCGGCAGATTGTACAGAAGACTGACGAGTACAATTTGCCACTTTGCCTGGCGTATGTGGACTATGAGAAAGCCTTTGATTCCGTCGAAATTTGGGCGGTGCTGCAGTCCCTTCAGCGGTGCCAAGTTGACTGTCGGTATATCGAAGTGCTGAAGTGTTTGTACAGTAGGGCTACGATGGCTATCCGAGTACAGAACCAGAGCTCGAAACCTATCCAACTGCAGAGAGGTGTAAGACAGGGTGACGTTATATCCCCGAAACTCTTCACCGCTGCTTTGGAAGACGTTTTCAAGCTACTGGACTGGAAAGGATACGGTATTAACATCAATGGCGAGTACATCACTCACCTTCGATTTGCCGACGATATAGTCCTTATGGCAGAATCGCTGGAGGACCTTAGCACTATGCTCAATGACCTCAATGGTGTCTCCCAACGGATAGGTCTTAAGATGAACATGGACAAAACAAAGATTATGTTCAATGTCCATGTCACACCTATGCCGGTAGTTGTGGGGAGCACTATGCTCGAAGTTGTTGACGAGTACGTTTACCTGGGACAAATAGTCCGACTAGGTAAGTCCAACTTCGACCGAGAGGTCAATCGACGGATTCAACTCGGCTGGGCAGCGTTCGGGAAATTACGACACATCTTCTCGTCAGGTATACCTCAATCTCTGAAAACTAAAGTGTACAACCAGTGCGTGTTGCCAGTGATGACTTACGGATCAGAGACGTGGTCCTTCACTGCTGGCCGTATGAGGACGCTCAAGGTCGCTCAGCGAGCTATGGAGAGGGCTATGCTCGGAGTTTCTCTGCGTGATAGACTCAGAAATGAGGATATCCGCAGTAGAACCAGAGTGACCGACATAGCCCAACGGATTAGTAAGCTGAAGTGGCAATGGGCCGGCCATATAGCTCGAAGAACCGATAACCGATGGGGAAGAAGGGTTCTCGAGTGGCAGCCTCGTACCGGTAGGCGTAGTGTAGGGCGACCCCCCACTAGATGGAGTGACGACCTGGTAAGACATGCAGGAAGTCGATGGATGCAGGTGGCTCAGGACCGTGCTTTGTGGCATTACTTGGGGGAGGCCTATGTTCAGCAGTGGACTTGTGAAGGGCTGTAATGATGATGATGATGATGAAATTGAATTATAGTGTGACTTCCGGAAAGACGACGTTAAGAAAACTTTTTTGGTTGTTCGTATATCGATCGATATGACAACCAAACAAAACGCTATAATATAGCTCTTCATTACCTATATTTGTCCAATTCGAACACTGGTATTCAATAATACATCGTTATCGATGTTGTAGACAGGAAAAATTAAAAAAAATTTACAACCGACTTCAATTTAAATAAAATGCGAACATTATCAATGTAGTCAACGTCAATTAAATACGCATGGTTACGGATAACTCAAAAACTACTAATCAGATCTTGATCAAATTTATATGGGACCATGTGAGAATTATTAACTTTACACTTAAATAAGAAATAAGTTCTGAGGTAAGACACATTAGAAAAACATAACAGTTGAATTGAGTACCTTCTTCTTCTTTTGAAGTCGATTAAAAAGTCCCCTGTTGAACATAGGTCACCCTTATAAATTGAATGATAAGAGGGATTCTTGCCATAGTTGCCACGCTTGGCGGGCGGGTTGGCAACCGCAGTGTATTTTTCTTTATTTTTTAGTTATTAGGAGGACGCTGCTACCCATCTCCGTATTTGTTTCCCTCCGTCGCCTCCTACGACACCCACGGGATGATATGGGGTAGTGGATATCGGCCGGTGGCGCAGTAATGATGCACCATACAAGGATAAATATTATCAAAACAAAACACAACCTATTAAGAAGTTCGATGGTGTGACAGTTACTTTGTGACTCATTCGATTTCCTTGTAAGTTGAACTGACGTCAGCTAGCTACCTTCACCCAGCTACCTTCACCGTCTCACAGTTATTAATATTACAACCGTATATTGACAGGTGGATTTTTTTTTTCAAACTGAGTTGATAAGCTAGTTAAGAGGATGTCTTTATTAAATTGTCTAAGTAATTCGTGAAATAAATGTTTTGCACTGGTTTTACAGTTTGCGGTCATATTTCGGTTGTCGCTTGCGCATTCTATCATTCTAACACACATATCATTTACATCGCAAATCCTGGTTTCTAATGCAAGTTTGAGCTCACTTTAAAAAAAAGTAAAATTGATTGCTTACAATAGGTGTGGATGAAAGTCGATGCTACGACATTGTGTATAGAGGAATAAAAACCTGACTTTAGAATGTGAAATTATTTTAGCCTTCCAAATTCTTAAAAGACGGCTTTTAATTTTAATAAAAATGATTTTGTCACGCTTTTAAGTAAACTAAGGATCACAATAATTACATTAAAAACTTTATTCCTTATTTTACCCAAAGGGTGGAAGTTTTTCTCCAAATTCGTAACGGTTCGTAGCTATTGACGTGTGATATTTTTTTCATTTTATGAAATAATAAAACAAAAAAACTTCTTCTTTTTAAAATTTTTTTTTAAAGTTATAATAGAGTAACAATTTCGTTAAAAAAGTTAGAATAAAAGGCGTCTGCTAAGTCTTTTTGCGTAACGTGCTATAAATTTCAAAGCTTATTCAGGTCTTCTTCGTCTTCATCAGCCAATAAAATATACCCCGCTAAACTCTAATACTCTAGTAACCTCTCCCGTTGTAAAGAGGACTTACATAATGGTTACGTTTGGCAAACATATTGTCAATCACAGTACCCTACGTCTCATGGCTTTGGCGCTACAACCTGTCGCATGTCTGGAAATATTACGTAAGTTAAATATCAATACCGCTATGGATCGGAAACCATGAGATCTTTATTGCATTTTCCATAACCTATGGGACGCAATGGCATGATACATTTTCTAAACGTCGGGCACCACTCGGCAAAAATTTCAATGAAATATAATAATCTAATAATTATGCTCTAATTCAATATATCACACTCGTACTAAGACCTGCTTTACACGTAATAAGTAATAACCCAACAGCTACTATGGTATGGTTGTGAAGGGCAAGAACCGACGCATAGTGCGCCGTTTACGTCTTAAGCAATCTCGCCCGCTTTGAACCTTATACAGTCATAAAAAAAACACAAGCAGCCGGACATAAGGCGACATTCAGAATGCCGTCCGTGTCTGCATGACGTTAGGCGGTGAATGCACGTGCGGACAAATATATGGCGATATTTTTAAGGATAACGGAAATTTTTGTTTTAAAAATAGAACAGTTAAAAATAGAATAGTTACAAATATTTCAATATCGAGACGAACAAATCATTTAATCTTTGAAATTGAAGGCGTACTACACAAGAACAAAATATACAGCCAAATTTTTTTACCCTATTGAAATGACAATCAAAAATGACAACAAATAATAATCACGGCACACGTAAAAATCACTGCAATAAAGAAAAAGTTATTACATGTTATAAATTAGATAATTTTTTAAATTATTTAAAGGATAAGAATGTTTAATATTAGCTTTCTTAGATTTTCTTATTTGGGTATATATATTTTATAAGGTTAATAAAACTTGTTGAAAGAAAAATAGTCCACTTATGAATTTCTTGTCGCTTTTTTTATAGACTAAAAGTTGGACAAGAACAATTCACTTGATGGTAAGTGGATGCTGTGGTTCGTAGAAATCTACATCTGTCCTCAAATAAGAATTAAATTTTTGTCACCCCTGAGGGCTGGGATGGAATCATGGATGGAATCCAGTAAAAACGGTCTCCAGTTCTCCACACACACCACAAGAAACATATTTATTTTTACGCTGGTATTGTGTGAGCGTGGCCTTTCCTCAGTCTAGCTAACCCATGTTCATGTTACAACCATATAGTAGCGGCATGGCGCCCAGATTAGATATTCCACGTATAAATGTTCTTCTCACAAGATCTCCCGCAACCCCAACTCCCGCAACTTCGTACTTATTAACTTTAGGTACTTATAGCTTTCTACTTATTGAAGCGATCGCGTAGCTTTCAAAAATTGGTTTTAAAGGGCAATTATAAACAAAATATTGTGACTTCGACCTCAACTTTGATAATATTTATTATGTCCGCACATGTGGAACAAGCCTTGTTTTCCGTGTGACAACTGGTAAGTAGAGTCCGCGTACAATACGACCTTGCCGCGCCGCGTCCGTTTCGCTCCCAGTGTAAATTCACCGTGCGTCTGCAACGTGAATATACAACTAATACCAAACAATGGCTTGAAATACATAATAAGCATTAAATTATGCATAGATGGTTACACTATTTATGAATTTAAGAGAAGAAAAAATGTATTCTATAAAAAGACGTCTCTCACCTTAGTTATTACACGCATAGCTCAATTCGTCCAAGTATCTCACGATCTACGAGGGTGGATTGAAAAGTACTCGGCCTAACCAAGAAAATAAACACATACTAAATCAGTTATATTTTTATTTTTCTACATAATCACCATCAAGTTCAATACACTTTTGCCACCTCCCCTTCCAAGCATTTAGACCGTTGAAAAAAAATGATTCTTCCTTAGAGTCAAAATATGCGTCTACAGCTGCTTTGACCTCGTCGTTTGTCGAAAATCTTTGACCTCCCAAGTGCTTTTTTAGGTTAGGGAACAGAAAGAAGTCTGATGGTGCCAGATCAGGTGAATACGGCGGATGCGGTAACAGTTCAAAGCCACAGTTGTGAATTTCAGCCATTGACTGTACTGACGTGTGAACACGGGCGTTATCTTGATGAAACAGGACTTTTCTTCTGAGCATTCCTCGACGTTTTTCTTTTATTTCCTCTCGTAAACGACGTAGTAAGGTGCAGTAGTAATCAGAGTTTATAGTCTGACCCCTTTCAAGATAATCAATCATAATCACACCTTTCGAGTCCCAGAATACTGAAGCCATCACCTTATTTGCCGACAAAATCGACTTAGCCTTTTTAGGGGGTGGTGAACCAGGTCTTCTCCACTGTTTTGATTGTTGTTTTGTTTCCGGTGTACAGTAATGAACCCATGTTTCGTCCATAGTAACAAAACGATTCAAAAAATCATCTGCATCGGCTTCAAATAACTCCAAACAGTCGCGTGAAATAGTCAATCGCGTCCCTTTTTGTTCAACTGAAAGCAGTCGTGGAACCCACCTCGCAGACACCTTGTGGAAACCCAACTCGTTGACAATGATGTTTTGAGTTCGTTCATAAGAGATGCCTATAATCTCGGCTATCTCTCTAATTTTTAATCTGCGGTCTCCCATTATTAAATCAAGTACTTTTTTTAATATTTTCGTCAGTAGTTGACGTCGAAGGCCTTCCAGAGCGGGGTTCATCTTTCACACTCTCTCTATCACGCATAAATTCTGCTATCCATTTTTTGATGGATGAATATGACAGAGCACAATCGCCTAATGTTCTGACCGTGTCATCATGGATGGCTTTTGATGATAGCCCCTTCTTATGGAGGTACTTAATGACGGCACGCTGCTCGACTTACTCCATTCGCGGAAATTATGTCCGATTACTTTGTTAATAAATTTATAAAATCACAACTAATTATCGCACACGTTTCGAACTTCACACAATGAACTAGTCTGAACTGAACTAAATAATGTGGGTAGATTTGATTTTTAGAATTGAATGGATCTGTGTTAGGCCGAGTACTTTTCAATCCACCTAGGTAATTAGTGTTTAGTTGACAGCCGTAATAGTGCTTGTAACTTGTTGCCTTTTAAAATGAACTAAAAAGTTTGTGGTCATTTATTTGTTCTTACATGACCCGCGCGGTTTCGGTCGCACGAGTTTCGAGCAATGGCAAAGGTGAAAAAGTTTTTTCAATAAGAGTGTAGAGTTAGCAACAAATAAATAAAAGCTTTCATTATCACATTAAAGTACTATGTGTTTACTTTGTGTGTATTTTAAAATACTAAAGCCTTCTAAAAATCAAAATCATGTCGTGTAGTAGTAGACTTTAAAATAACAATAGTAATATTTATTTATTAAAGTATCAAACCATTTATATCTGGTACATTTTTAAACTAAGGCAATCAATCATAGATATTATATACCTACACCAAATACAAATTGCAATGTGTTGTGAGTAAAAACATCATACCCATTCACAACCTATAGCGTCCGATGTATCCCCAGCCAGTGTTTAAATATAATATATTGTCAGAAGACACCTGAGCAACGACCTGAATTATTTCATTTGATATTTACGTAGAGTTTTCCAGATACTGGCCGTTCTACAAGATAGCACTGCGTCTAGGACAGCAGCCTCCGCGAACATTGTGGAGGCGCTGCAGTATTACAGATGTTTTAAAAAAATACGAAAAGCATCATTATACTTAAGAGAAGTTACTTCCTCATATCATCTCGTGGGGTGAGAGGAGTAGCAAGAGGCGTCAGAGGGAAACTGAAGCAGGAGATGGGCAGCAGCGTCTTCCAGATAACAGCTCGAAAATAATAAAAAAAATCTGCGAATGCTAAACCGCCTGCCTAACGGGGCAACTACGATATTTTTTATACTATAGAGTAAGGGTGAAAAACGAGCACACAGTCCACCTGATGGTAAGTGGATGCTGTGACCCATAGATATCTACATTTATGCTCGGTTAATAATCACAATGCAGATGCGTTGTCACCCCTGAGGACTAAAATGGAATGCCTCTTTTTCAGTAAAAAAGAGTCTCCGGATCTCTACACTCGCCATACGAAACACAGCAGTATTAAGCTGGTATTTTACGCTGGTATTCTGTGAGAGCGTGGTCCTTCCCCGGTCGAGCCGACCTATTCGTGCTGCAACCATAATATGGCTGCGGCGTGGCTCTACCAATCTATAGGGAGGCCTATGTTCAGCAGAAAAGTTTTATAGACTGTAATGAATAAATAGATGGAGTACTAGGCACTATAATGACTTCCATTTCCTCTTTCATTTCCTGTGGTTTGTTTTTCATATATTGTAAACAGAGACATTCGTCATTTTCCTACAACGTGCGTTAAATGTACTTGCGTAGGTTTAACAAAAGTACTGCATAGTTGACCTTTTCAGCCTATCTAAAGCGATTCAACAGCTGTCAAAATTGCGTATTATAGTGTCATTAACAAACGAGCTGGCTCGATTTAGTACATTGGATGTCGGCTTTGACGGCTTGGTTGTGTGCAGCACTGCGTGGTTCAGATCTTGCACGTAACGAGTGTTCGGACTCGCTTTCTAAAATTGATTCACTGCTAAGCTTCGTCATCATTAAATAATCTCTACTTTTTGTATAATAAGGTTACAAACGAGCACACAGTCCACGTGATGGTAAGTGGATACTGTGGAACATAGGTAGATGACGAAATGCCTCATTTCCGGTAAAAAGGGTTTCCATCTCTAGTTCTTAACACTCACAATACGAAAGACAGCAGCTGCGCTGGTATTCTGTGAGAGCGTGGTCTTATCCCGGTCAAGCTGACCCATTTGTGCTACAACGAACATAGCTGCAGCGTGGCTTTACCACGTATTACCTAATAATTATATAGCTTTGTATGATAAGGGTGTTTAAGATCAAAGGTAGCTGCGGTTACACTGTGACTGTGATGACTGTACCAATTGCTTATAATTGCGCGAAACAAGTTTAACAAGTGAGACCTTTGTCCTGCAGCTGCGAGCTAAGTGCTAGATATCAAGCGGACTCAATTAGCCGCACGTGATTTGACGTGATTAATGAACATGGCCCGAGGAATAAAAAATAATCAATGAATTATAGCCACTAGGTGGTGGAGCTGCTTTTGTATCTTCGTCTACCTATTTATACCACTTAGAGGCAGTGCATCCACTGCTGTATTCCTATACCTGCTTGAAGGGTAAGAGCTGATATATTAATGATGTATAAAGTATTTGTATTCTTCTTTGTAGACCTGCTATGTCACATAAATGACATTTTTATAGAAGATGGGGCAAAGAGCATGCGGCTCACCTTATGGTAAGTGACTCCCGCCACCCACGAACAACTGCAACACTAGGGTGATTGTAGGTGCGCTGCCGACCTTTTAGAAAGGATTAAGCTCTTTTCTTGAAAGTCTCTAAGTCGTATCAGACCGGAAAAAATGTCGGTGGTAAACTATTCCACAAAGAGAAACTCCTAGTAAAACAGACAGTGGTGGACGGCCAAGCAATCAGATGGCGTAGATGTTATCGTAAGTTTTGTCGCACATCGCGACAAAGTGCACAATGTGTTTTTATCAAAGATATTTGAGTGTTATTTGAATATCTTTGGTTTTTATGAAACTTAAGATTCGAAAAAATAGAACAGTCATAAAATCATTCGCTAAATAAAGAAAACAACGAACGTGCTCCCGCGCTACTCGTGGATATCCGGGCGCCACAATGCGACTTCCGCCGCCTGCCACCAACTCATTGCACCAATTGATGGCCCATCGGTACAACAACAGGGCCCTTCGCCCTACAGTTTGCATCCGGGCTAGGGGTGTGCTAAGTTGCTTCAGTATACATCGATATTTCTCGATACTGCATTGACACTTCAAATGTCTTTTGATTAATGAACAACAACAAACTACAATGAAATCGCTTAGTGATGTATTATAAATTATGAATATTTAAGTCAATGAGCTATCATAAATTTTTATAACAATGTTATTGAACAAGCCAGAATTGTTAAAAAATTTCAATGATTTATCTTATGTACTTATATAAAAAACTTTATAAGTAATAAATCAGTGTTTGGCCACTATCTCAGCTGGCGGTGATGAAAACCTAGATGGCAAAACGCATTGTCTTAGTGTAAGGAAAGTCTACTAACTCTTGCCTTGAAGACTCGCAGTTTGAACTTCAAATTATTCCACTCCTTTTTACTCGTTTTTTTTTTTTTGTGTCGCGTGATAGCCAGGGAATAAGCGTTTGCCTTAAATTACATAGATAAACATATAACATACCTACTAAGGTCATTTTATGCCACTAAAAAGAATTTTTTAATTTCAATTACATATTATATATCGTCAGACAGTTTATAAGTAGACGCATGTCTAAGAAATAAAAAAAATGTGGAACATGTAATGTCAAGGACAAGAAACTAACATGTATTAAATCAGGCAGACGGACTTTTCTTCAAAACCCCTTTACCATAGAGGAGAGATCAGAACAAGAGAATAGATGAAAAACGAAAATTCCTGTAGTAAAGGAAGGAAGAGAACACA